ACACACTCACACACACACACACTCACACAGACAGACACACACACAGACACACACACAGACAGACAGACACACACACTCACACTCACACACACTCACACACACACACTCACACACACACACACTCACACACACACTCACACACACACACACACACACACTCACACACACACACACACACACAGATAAATGTAATTAAAATTTGCATGCAAAGGCTGGACAGATGGCTCAGAGGTTAAGGGCACTGACTGCTCTTCCAGAGGTCCTGAGTTCAATTCCCAGCAACCACATGGTGGCTCACAACCATCCCTTATGAGATCTGGTGCCCTCTTCTGGTGTGCAGATAAAAATGGAAGCAGAATGTTGTATACATAATAAATAAATAAAATCTTTTTTAAAAACTTGCATGCCAGTGAGGGCACACAAACACTTGAAAAAAAGACAAGACACGTGTAAAGATAACAATCACAAGAGCTCGTCCACACACAGCTAAAACGGGGGACATAGTCAATTATGTCACAAGACAGAAGTACAACACCACAAAACATGTTACAGGAAAGATCGCAGAGCTGCCACCCACAGACACTAAGGACTTAGAGGAGGACCAGAAGTTATCATTTGTGGGCCCCTCCAGGAGAAAAATCACCTTGGGTTTGAGCAATTTCACATGGGTTTCTATGTTTGTAGTTGTAACATTATTGCTAAACCATCTTTATTGGTGGCTTAAACTACTAAAAGCCAGCTGGGGGTTGGTGGTGCATGCCTTTAATCCCAGCACTAGGGAGGCAAAGGCAGGCGGATCTCTGTGAGTTCGAGACCAGCTTGGTCTACAGAGTAAGTGCCAGGATTGGCTCCAAAGCTACACAGAGAAACCCTGTCTCGAAAAACGGAAAAGCAAAAAACACTACTAAGAGCCAATAAAGGGCCGGTGTAAGTTTATAAAGGGAACTCCCTCTCTGTGGCCGGTCAATAGAGCACTTTTCAGAAGCAGATACTGGGTCGATGGTTAGAGCATTCTCCTTTCCAAGGACAATCCTTGACGGCTGCTTTGACAGGATAACCAGTTATGTTTTCTCAGGCGAGTTTTTTGAAGTTACATATTCCTCCTTTTCTATTCTTGTCTTTATCTTCTGTTCAAAACAGAGCGTACTTCCATAGAAATAATAATATCCAAGACACGCAGTTACAACATGTTCTAGATTAGTCTACACAAACACTCAGCAAGTAGGAGAGCCGCGCATACTCAGGTGCACAGACAGGCAGCATTCACAGAACGAGACCACGCCCACCCGCAGAGCACACAAAAGTAACTGGGATAGACTGGGAGGGACTGGCGGGCAAGCGGGGCTGGGATTACCTTCTCCCCACCCGCGCGCGCGCGCGCACACACACCGTTTGAGGATTTCTCAAAGTCTGGCCCCAGGATTCCTTATTGAACTTTGGGATCCCGCCCCTCGGGCCCTTGACAACTGGCTAACCTGGGGTGGGCGGAGCAAAAGCCAGCTGGCCAATTGGATTTGTGCACTCGTTTTCCGCCCCTTCCTGGTTTGGATTCTTAAAGGAGACATCATGCATGCGATGGGAAGAATCCGCTTACATAGCCAGGCTGCTACGTAGGCCCTTTTAAAAGGCAGAGCCACGTAGGACCGGGGTGTTCTGGGCGGAATCAAGGAGGAACCAATGAGTCCCTATTAGGCCAGGTCAAGCGTGCAGCTCCCGAGCAGTCTGCGTGCACCAGGTCCGAAGGGTAGAGGGTGGGGCAAGGTTGGGCTCCGCTGACGCCGGGCTTTTCCAGGTGGCGGTCGCTGCGATGCTGGCCGGCTACATGGCTTTGAGAGGAGTCTCCGCGCGGATACTGAGCCGCAGGCCGGGCCTGCACTTCCCACGTACGTGAAGCTCGGCGGCGGCACACACTAGTCAGTGCGGGGACCTGGGATGGGGTGGGCAGGGAGACACAAGGACACTTTCTCAGTGTGACTTTCTCGTCCTGTGTTTGCAGAGAAGACACAGAGCCGACCGGCCCAAAGTAAGAACCACCTTCCCACCTACACTCCGGTCCAGCTGTGGCCTTGACCCTTGGTGGTCTCTGTCTGTGATTGCAAGGGCTGCCGGGAAGGGAAGCTGGGTTGTGCCCAGGGTCAGAAGCGCTAAGGTATTTGTTTCTATTGGGCTAGAGAAGGGCTGCGTTTGTCAGACTGTATGAAGCTAGCATTCATGTGGAGCTAGATAGGGAGAATGGGTGCAACTTAGAAATCTGGAAGAGATGGGCTGGAGAGATGGCTCAGAGGTTAAGAGCACTGACTGCTCTTCCGGAGGTCCTGAGTTCAATTCCCAGCAACCACAGGGTGGCTCACAACCAGGCCTGCATGCAGGCAGAATACTGTATAGATAGATAATAAATAAATAAATCCCTAATAAAAGAAGAAAAGAAACCTGGAAGAGACCTGGGCAATGGTGGTGCACGCCTTTACTCCCAGCACTCAGGAGGCAGAGGCAGGCGGATCTCTGTGAGTTCGAGGGAGGCCAGGGACAGCCAGGACTGTTTCACAGAGAAACCCTGTCTCAAAAAACAAACAAAAAGAGGAAAGGGGGGGGGGGTCTGGCTGACTGGAACTCCATGCCCTACCCAGCCTCTCGTCCTGGGTTTGACTGGAGGGACCCACTGGTACTGGAGGAGCAGCTGACTGCTGATGAGAAACTCATCAGGGACACCTTCCGCAACTACTGCCAGGAGCAGCTTATGCCTCGAATTGTGCTGGCCAATCGGAATGAAGGTGCCCATGTGGAGGGTGGGCACCCTGGGCTCCTCAGCCACACAGGATTTACACCTGCTGCAGTGCCCACACACAGGCTCTGTCCCTGGAGTCAGGGACTCCATCAAGCTGAGACAGGGCCTGACTCTGGCACCCGTCTCTGCAGTTTTTCACCGGGACATCGTGTATGAGATGGGGGAGCTGGGCATGCTGGGACCCACCATCAAAGGTAAGAGGGGTTCTCTGTATACTCTGTAGCCCTTACTCCCAGCACCTGAGAAGTCACCCCTTCCCATCTGTAAAATGGGCAGTGGAAAGCCCCAGTCAGGGCAGCCCCCTGCTCACTTCAGAAGGGCCCCATTATAGCCCTTTACTCAGGGCTGTTCCAGCTGGCTGAACTTTGGTCGGTTTACCTGCTCCTCTTCTACACCAGGGTATGGCTGTGCTGGGGTGTCATCAGTGGCCTATGGGCTCCTGACCCGAGAGCTGGAGAGGGTGGACAGCGGCTACAGGTCAATGATGAGTGTTCAGTCTTCTCTTGTCATGCACCCCATCTACACCTATGGGAGCGAGGAGCAGCGGCAGAAGTATCTGCCCCGGCTGGGTAAGCAGCTGCTGCCTGGTGGAGGGAAATCAGACTGTGGTCTGGAATGCAGATCCCAGTGTCCTCATAGCCTGCCTCCTTTCCTACAGACCACCTGTGCCCTTCCTTGCCAGGCCCTGATTCCATACCATCTCTGTCAGCCTCCTCCCTCTCCCCTCCCCTGTGACTTCACTCCTGGCCACCATCATCTCCCCTTGGGTTTGTTTTCTGTGCTCCTTATCCCAGTCCAAAGTTGAAAGTCTTAACTGCTAACCATGCGGCCCAGGAGCAGGCCCCTGAGACCTTTCCTCTACTTCTTTGACCACTCAGATCTTATTTGTAGATAGGGTCTCTCTAGGTAGCCCTGTTTGGCCTGGAGCTTTGTAGAGCAAGCTGGCCTGGAACTCAGAGGTCTACCTTCCTTGGTCTCCTGAGGGAGAGGGAAGAGCTAGGATTAAAGGCATGCACAACCATGCTCATCCCTCTGGCCACTCTTGTGACTGCTCAGCTACTAGAGATTCTCTCAATAACCACCTTGGTGATTACTTTTCCTCATACCCTCCTTCAGGCTGGGTGTGGTGGCGCACGCCTCTAATCCCAGCACTCCAGAGGCAGAGGTAGTTGGATCTGTTAGTTCTAGGCCAGCAAGGGCTACATAGTGAACCTTCTCAAAAACAAAATAAGAGACAACCACAAACTTTATGCCCTCTTTCAGCTAAGCCTCTTGGTGCCCTTGAAGACACTCTCACCAGCCCCTTCCTTCTGGCCTCCCTCATACTGTGACATTGTGATTATAGATAGCCTGGACCATTTCCTCAGTTCACAGAGTGGTTACAGGTCTGGCTCAGTGGTGAAGATAATCTATCAGGAGATGAATGAGGCCTGGTAGGTAGCCTTATAACCCTGACTTGTGCTTGCAGCCAAGGGTGAACTTCTGGGCTGCTTTGGGCTTACAGAGCCCAACCATGGGAGTGACCCCGGTGGTATGGAGACCAGAGCTCGCCACAATCCATCAAACCAGAGCTACATTCTCAATGGGACCAAGACCTGGTGAGGGGCCCAGGTGGTGGTGGGTGATAAGGTGTGTGTGAGGAGGCAGCAGACAGATCCCACCATAATTTTTTGGCCCCCAGGATCACCAACTCACCTGTGGCTGACCTGTTCGTAGTGTGGGCTCGGTGTGAGGACAACTGTATTCGGGGCTTTCTGCTGGAGAAGGGAATGCGGGGCCTCTCAGCCCCTAGGATTGAGGGGAAGTTCTCCTTGCGGGCTTCGTCTACTGGTATGATCATCATGGACAACGTGGAAGTGCCTGAGGAGAATGTGCTCCCTAATGCGTCCAGCCTGGCGGTATGTGGTAGACACCTTGGGAACTGGTGGGGGCCACCTGCTGGCTTCCCTTTCTCACCTTTTCAAGTGGAGAACAAACTACATGGTCCCTGTACTTGTGGGGCATTGTGGAGTTTGATGCTCCCTGTTCATGGGTTACCACTTTGCCCCAAATGCATATGGCTCTGCCCTGGACCACTTTTTACTCTGCTTGTATGAGCAGCTACCTGTCTCCTGCCAGCTTCTTGCATTTGAGCACTGAGGTCCCATGCTGTATAGAACTGTGTGCACACACAGAGCAGAAAGGCACTGAACAAACAAGGCTTGCTGCACCCGAGTTTTGGTGTACATACCCTATGTGATTTAAATGCAGATGCCCTTGTCTGGAACATTTGGGAGACAGATTTTCCTGCTTCCCAGTTGGTTCTTCCCAGGCCTTCAGCTGACTGAGAGAGACCTCTTGTCAATCTTTTAGGGTCCTTTTGGCTGCCTCAACGCTGCTCGATATGGCATCACATGGGGTGTCCTGGGAGCTGCTGAGTTCTGTTTGCACACAGCACGGCAATACGCTCTGGACAGGTGTGGAGGGTCTTAAAGTTTACTTTGTACCCCAATAGTGACTTCCCCAGTACCCCCCAAGTTTAAGTTCTCTGCTCTGGCATGACTTGGGACATCCTGAGCAGTTAAAATGAGCCAATAACAGGGTCACTATGAATTGGGAAGCCTCTTGAACTACAGGCCCTCACTTGACCTTGCCTTTTCTAGGATCCAGTTTGGTGTCCCCTTGGCCAGGAACCAGCTGATTCAGAAGAAGCTGGCAGACATGCTCACCGAGATCACATTGGGCCTCCACGCTTGTTTGCAGCTTGGCCGTTTAAAGGATCAGGACAAGTAGGAAATCATATAGTATGATTGAATCCTGGGCCCTTTCTGAGGTTCTCCTTGCCAGCTAGTGGCCCCAGCTGGGGACATAAGCTTCTTTCCCTCTTGGTTTTGATGGGCTGGACCAGGGACAGCCTTGCCAGTTGGATATCATCTGTGGGGTGTACATGAGACCCAGTGTTTATAACTTATGTGCCACTCCCAGGGCTACCCCAGAAATGGTCTCCCTGCTGAAGAGAAATAACTGTGGGAAAGCCCTGGACATTGCCCGCCAGGCACGAGACATCCTGGGAGGAAATGGGATTTCTGATGAGTACCATGTGATCCGGCATGCTATGAATCTGGAGGCAGTGAACACTTATGAAGGTCAGAGCTGGACCCTGGGCTGAGGAGGAGGGTGTTACAGTGGTCTTGGGGAGGGAGACAGCAGTAAGGAGCTGGGATAGCACAGCTCTGTCCTCCAGCGTCACCAAATGACTGTCAAATGACTACCCTCTGCCCCTCACCTGGAGCTGTTCAGAGGTTGTGGGAGTAAATATATAAACGAGTGACTGCATGACTTCAAAGGTCCCAATGAGCAGACTATGTGAGATGCTCATGCTCCTGGCCCTTGTTCTCATTGTGGGATGAAATATGGAGGGAGACATAGTCCCAAGAGCAAAGTTCGAAGAGAGAGGCGCAGTTCTTGGTAGTGGGTGGGCGTGAAAAAGAGAACAGCACACAGTAATTGTATCACTACTTCATGTTCAGAGAAAAAGGTGTTTGCAGACTATGGGAGTCACAGAGCATGTACCCATGGCTTAGGACAAACTTGGAAAAAGACATGAAAAATGATACTGGGGGGGGGGGAGGCTGTAGGGATGGCTCAGTAAGCACAACAGTTGCCATAAAAGCATAAAAACCTGAGTTTAAGTCCAGAGCCCTCATAAAGCCATCACAATAGCATTCATCTGTAACCCAGTGCTCCAAGGTAAAATGGGAAACTAAGGCATGGATCTCAGACCAGCCAGCCAGGGTAACACACTAGTGAACAACAAAAATCCCATCTCAAATAAGGACCAAGGCCTGAGATTGTCTGCTGGCTTCCAAGTATGTGTCACGGCATGTGCACCTACACTCACGGGTTCTTGACCAGTATTTAAAAGGGGGGAAATACACTGGGTGGTGGTGGTGCATGCCTTTAATCCCAGCACTCGGGAGGCAGAGGCAGGTGGCCTGGTCTTCAAAGAAAGTTCCAGGACAGTCTCCAAGCCTACAGAGAAATCCTATTGGGGGGGGGATCAAATCCAGTGTGATCCATGCACAATGGGGTCACTAGCTTCTTGGTCAGAGAGGCAGATTCTAGTCAGAAAACACAGAATGCATGTGATATCTTCCCTGTCTGCCTCAATGACTGAGGATCTGAACCAAGGGAAAGTCGCAGTCTTCAATGTTTATCTCTGGCTACTGGACGAAACATTCCAGAAACAGTGAGGGAGAGAGGTGGATGAGATCCTACAATGTGAGCATGATTTGAGATGTGTCAGACTTGGGGTGTTGGAAGCAAATGGAATGATTTAACTGTGTAAAAAGGAAACCATGGTTTCTGCTGCTGTCCCTAAAGGAGGGGTGGAGCAAAGGACCATCCATGTTTTTGCACATACAATCAGTCTTCCCAATTCTGGAAGAAAGTAGGCCAGGCTAGAAATCCAACATTTAATCAGCTATAGGTGTGGGTTGGGTAAATTTGCTAAAGCTAGGTCTATGGCAGGGGCTAACCTTGTCACACTTTGGTAGTTAGCACAAAGATCATTGGTGGCTTTTGTGTTGGGTTACAGAACTGTAAAAGAAAACAATCGCAGCATGGCTCAGTGGGCTGTGTTAAGATGGGAGCTTCTTAGCAGCAGTCAGCATTCACCATCTTTGTAATTCTGTTCTTCTGAAGTGGGAACCTAGGGCAGCACAGGGAATGACTTTAAAGGTAAGTTATGAGCTGAAGATTCCAAACGAATTCTAACATTCATCTCACACAGGTACACATGACATTCACGCTCTGATCCTTGGGAAAGCAATTACTGGGATTCAGGCATTCACAGTTGGCAAGTGAACCCACTTCAACAGCGGGACCTTCAACAAGAGAAATGCTTGGCTAGAACCGCGCACCGTGCATTGCTCTTTGTCTGCTCAAGAAGCAGTGGCTGGAACTGGCTTTTATGGTGGAAAGTGAGACACTGATTTGAGACTATGGAAATTTCAGATATGCTCTATAGAAAGAAGATGAAATTCTCTGTATGGCCCTTAGCCCATTTTAAGTGAGATCAGACTCCATTTACTTTAAGCTTCTTCTAACTGGGGGGGGGGGGACGACACTGTGAAATGGAGCAGACCTTGTGAGAAAGTGCTCTGGAGTTTGTGGTGCCTTCCTTCCTGCCTCCATCCCAGGGGCAGTGCCTTCTATGTTCAACACTGAGCAAATAAAAGAGAAAAATAAAGCCTGTGCCTCACTCCTTGGTCTGGGTTTACTGGTAACCACAGAGGGGTAATTTGGGGAGTTTCTCGTAGGAGAGATTAACTTGCCTGGGGGCTATGTCTTCCTGGAATAGTTCATAAACTTTGAGCTAGACAGTTTCTGAACCGGCAAGGGGGCACTTTGTCCTTTCCTTCATGATACAGTGAACTACACAATGATAACATGGACAAGAGTTTGGTTTCTCAGGGCAGACTGTATGACTTAGGGTTAGTAACAGTCGTGTTTCCTAGAGCTGAGGTGACTATCAGTGGCAGAGCACTTGTCTGGCATGTGCAGATCCATGTGCCCTGGATTTCATTCCAAGCAATGTAGGGGAAAAGAAAAAAGTCTGGTTCCTATCCACATTTACTCTCAGTTGAGTCATTCCAGGTCTCTTTCCTCACAGGATACACCCCTTACCTCAGACTGGACACACAGGTCTTTATATACTGTTTCCACAGTATGGCAAACTTGCTTGAGCTCCATTTCCAGAAGGCTGATCTTTGCCATCTTCTGAGTGAATTCTTGGAGTCTTTCCTGAATGATCTTGCTGTGGTGGCTGTACACCTGGTACATTCTCTCCTCCAACTTCTCTGTCAGATCTGAGACCTTTCAGAGAGTAACAAAGAATTGTACTGACTGCAAGGTAAAATTTTGTTTATGTGTTGTTTGTTTATTTATTTAGAGGTATGGTCCTGCCATGTACCCAGGCTGACCTTGAACTCATCACTCTTCCTGTCCCAGCTTCCATACTACTGGGACTATATGCACACAGGTACATACCACTATTCTCAGTTCTTTTGTTTCAGATGGTTAGTCTCGTGTAGTCAGGACTGACCTTGAATTTTCTATGCAGTTGAGGCTGGTTTTGAACTCCTGATCCTAGTACTTCTACCTCCCAAGTGCTGGAATCATAAGGATGTGCCATGATGTCTAGCTTCTTTTATTTATTAAAATGATACAAATGTGCCGGGCGTTGGTGGCGCACACATTTAATCCCAGCACTTGGGAGGCAGAGGCAGGCGGATCTCTAAGTTCAAGGCCAGCCTGGTGTCCAGAGCGAGTGCCAGGATAGGCTCCAAAGCTACACAGAGAAACCCTGTCTCAAAAACACCAAAAAAAAAAAATTGAAAAAAAAAGATATGTTCAATTGGTTCTTCATCTTAAATCTAGGAATGATTAAAAATCATTTTACAGGGGCTGGACAGATGGCTCAGTGGTTTAGAGCCCTGGCTGTTCTTCCACAGGACCCAGGTTCAATTCCCAGCACCCACATGGCAGCTCACTACTGTCTATAACTCCAGTTCCAAGAAACCCAACACCCTCATATAGGCATACAGGCAGAACACTAATGCACATAAAATAAAAATAAATAAAAATTATTAAAAAAAATCATTTTACAGGAAAAGTAAAATCTGTAGGAAATCACGTGTAGTGGTACATACCTGTTATCCCAACCCTTGTAGAGGCAGAAGGGAGGGTCTCCTGGGGCTATACATTGAGTTCCTGGTCATTTAGAATTACATAGTAAGATCCTGCCCTAAAACCCCAAAATAATTAAAATGTACAGAAAGACATGCATTGTTCTAGGCAAACACTACCTCATTTGAATGAGAGACCTGAGCACTACTTGTGAAGACTAGCATCCATGGGGTTCTGGAACCAGTCCTCTTATTTGATACTAAGGAAAGACTATCCTTAATTAGAAATAGAAAAGGTCTGACTGAGGGCAAAGACCAGTGCAGTTCTTGGCTCTGCTGGCTATGCATTCTCAAGCAGCACCAGGCATAGCCATGGGTACTTGCATTCCAGCAAGCATACCGTGAGGCATGAGCTCCACACGTGCTGTAGGACCAACTACTTCATCTCAGACCACAGCTACCTTCTAAGGACACATGGGTAAGAGAAGGCAAACCATAACCAGGCCTGTCGGAGCAGGCTGTAATGCTAGCCATTTAGATAGCTGAGGCAGGAGCAGTTACAAGTTCAAGGCCATCAGGGCAAGTGAGACCCTGCTTCCAAATAAAGCATAAGGCTCATGGTTAGTATACTTATCTAGCATGCTTAAGACTCCTGAGTTGGATAGATCTGGGTTCCTGAGCCTTGCTTCCTTACTTCATTTACCATTTTTTAAAAAAATATGAGTATCTTGCCTACTTCTCTGTCTGTGTAACGTGTATACCTAGTGACTGTGACAGAAGAGGGCATCTGATCTACTGGAGCTGGAGTTATGGTTGTAAATTACCTGACATGGGCGCTAGGAGTCAAACTCGGTCCTCTAGAAGAGCAGTAAGCGCTCTTAACTGCTGAGCCATCTTGAGCCATACTTGTTTTTAAAAATTTTTGAGACAGACTCTCAATATGTAGCATGGTTGGCTTGAAACTCACTCTGTATGCCAGATGGTGGTGGTGTACACCTTTAATCCCAGTACTCAAGAGGCAGAGGCAGGTGGATCTCTTGTGAACTCAAGGCCAGCCTGATCACAGAGTTAGTTCCAGGAGAGTCAGCACTACACAGAGAAACCCTGTTTTGAAAAACTTAAAGAAATTAACTATGTATACCAGGCTGGCCTTGAATGAACAGATTCGCCTGCCTGTGCTTCCCAAGTACTGGGATTAAAGATGGAACTACCATATATATGTGGTTTACCACCTAAAAAATTTTGTGTATGTATGTGTGTGTAAATGGGCATCAAACCAATAGTTGTTTTCAGTTTTCTACCACTAAGCAACACACACATCCCAAATCATTCATTTCTGAGCCCTAGATTTCTCATTTATTTATTTGTTTCGGTTTTTCAAGACAAGGTTTCTCTGTAGCTTTGGAGGCTGTCGTGGAACTCGCTCAGTAGACCAGGCTAGCCTACTCACAGAGGTCTGCCTCCTGAGTGCTGGAACTAAAGGCATGCACCACTACTGCCCAGCATAATTTCCTCACTTATGGTATGAGCCCAGTCTATTGACTATTCTAGAGTAAAATGAGAACTATGTGCAAAGTGCCTCGCAGGGTCCCTAGAACCTAACAGATGTCAGACCATAGGTCCTTCCTTCCTCTGAGGGATTGTCACCTTCATCTTCAGGCTGTCCCTGAAGTTGGTCATAAGTGCATGGTCCTTCTGTCTGCTCTCATTGATGTTTTCAATCAGCTCCTGGGCTTTCTTCTTCAGGATTTCAATGCTAGAGTCCAGAGAGGAGAAGGGTCCTGGCAGCTGGTAGTTGGCACTAAGGTGGAAATACAAGGGTTAAACTCTGACTTCTGAAAGTACTGAAATTAGCATCATGTTCTCCACAAAGTGGCTGACCTGCACTGGAACTCAGTGATTAATCGAATAGCATACACACACACACACACACACACACACACACACACACACACACACACACAGGGCCAGGGAGAATGTGACCTAATTAAGCTGTGTGGTATAAGTGAGGAAGGAGGAAGGTGTGAACTGCCTTTGTGGGTGACACCCAACAATTTCCCCATTTCATTCCTACCTTGAGACATGGGGCAGCCTCCCAACCCTTGTATAACACAGATGAACTAGGGTGTAAGCCTAACATGCCTGCAGTTCCAGAACACAATCTGTGCAGCCCAAAGCCACTGTTCATATGCATGAATACACCACTGGCTACTCTGAAGTCAGCATTATGGTAGTTTGAATAAGAACCAATACTCCCCTCCACCCCTGGGTACAGGAGAAGGGGAAGAAAAGGGCTTATATGTTGAATACTTTGGTCCCCAGTTGGTGGGACTGTGTGGGAAGGATTGGGAGGTATGGCCTTGGAGGAGGTATGCCATTGGATTTGATGTTTCCAAGGACTGGCACCGTTCCCAGTATGCCCTCTCTGCTTCCTGTTTTTGGGTCAGACGTGAACACTCAGCTGCTGCTCCAGCACCAAGCCTGCCTGCCACCATGTATAACCTCTATGGATCTTCACTACTGTGTGCTTGTCATGTGTGATCAGAAACCTCCTAGAGGACTGTGTCTTAGCTGCCTCTGTACTCCAGCATGCAGCTTTCCTTAGCCCGTTTTGTTGTTGTTGGTTTTGAAACAGTACCTCATTCTCTTTTTTTTTCTTAATTTTATTTTTACATTCCAATCCAGTTCCCCCTCCCGCATCTCCTCCCACTCCCCTCACCACCACCCCCACCTCCTCTCTGCTCCTCAGAGAGGGTAAGGCCTCCCCTAGGAAGTCTACTAAGTCTGTCCCATCATCTCGTTGAGGCAGGACCAAGTCACCTCTCCACCCCCACACCCCTGAGCAAGGCCCATATAGAATGGGCTCTACTAAGTCAGTTTGTGCATTAGTGTTAGGTCTTGGACCAGTGGCCTCATGTATTGCCCCACTCACACCATTGTCACCTATATTAAGGAGTCTCGTTGGGTCTTACGCTGGTTCCTCATGTGTCAGACCTGAGTCCCTGGTCTCTCACTAGCCTATCTGTCTGTATGTGCATCATATGCAAGCCTGGTGCCCACAGAGGACACAAGAAAGTATTAGATCCCCTGGAACTGGAATTGCAGAGTTGTAAACTGCCATGTTGATTCTGGGAATCAAATTCCATCTTCCTGAAGAACAACAAAGGCTCTCAACTGCTGAGTCAGCTCTCCAGCTTCTGCTCTTTTATGTTTAGCCTGTTTTAGATTGGCTTTTTTCTCTCTCCTTTGCTACTTCAAATCTCTTCCATCTTTAAACCATCTCTTTCTGTGTATCTCCTACTCCATTGCAGACTACTCTCATCCAGCCAGTTTGTAGAAAGAGCTACGTACACAGCTAATATGTATTTTCCAATCTCCTATTCACTGGCAAGGTATCCAGTAAGGAGACCCTGCAGTTAGACCCTAGCACATTCCACACTAATTCCATTGGCAACTGCTGCCATGTGTCCCTGTGTGGGCCCACACCACCATACACATCTGGAGGCCAGAGGACAATTTCCAAGAGTCTGCCCTCTAATTCCACCACGTGGATCCTAGAGATCAAACTCAGGGCA